TATGCAAAACAAGTGATGCACAATGCAATTGCTCACCACCTGCTGACCGATGCCCAGCCAGTTCCCGAGCAGCGGTCACTGCCCCCCCGGCTAACTCCCCCAGTTTATACACTGAGCGTGATGTCATACGGTATGGCATAGCCCTTTGGCCAGTCTGGGTCAGCTGTCCTGGCTGTGCCCCCTCCCAGCTTCTTGTGCACCGGGCAGAGCATGGGAAGCTGAAAAGTCCTTGACCAGTGTAAGCACTACTTAGCAACAACTAAAGCACCAGTGTGTTATCAACACTGTTCTCATCCTAAATCCAAAACACAGCACTGTACCTGCTACTAGGAAGAAAATTAACTCTATCCCAGCTGAAACCAGGACAATGAGTAACAATAACTTTGTTAATTTTTCAGCCCTATTACTTATTCTTGGGAAGGTGGAAAGCTCATTTCTGAAAATGATGATTTTGAAGACATGGTAGTAACTAGAGAAGATTATGAAGAACATGGACACAATATCTGTGAAGAGAAATTTGATATATAGGTAGCATAATTGGATATGTTGTTATTCTATTGTTTTACTCAGAATGGAACTCTCTGAACTACAACCTGTTTTCTATCAGTTAGGATTGTGTTTTAGCTTTCCTGTATTTAAGCGGGTTGGGAAAAAATAATTTTCAGAGTTTAAAAATAAAGTTTTACAAGCCTAATACTATGAAATAATACGTTCATTGTCATTTCATTATGTTCTCATCTTTTACTGATAGCTTCATTGTATTCTTACTGCAGAAAACCTCAATGCATGAGGCAATAAAAATATTGAATGCTTGTACTCGTGTGACACTAATAGAAGAAATCAAGATTATTTTTTTTTTCTAAATGAATATTCTAACTCGTGCATGCAATTGAATGGACATTAAACCCATCTCAAAAGGTCTCTTTGAGATTGCCTATCCTGAAAAGGAATACATGAGTTTTATTTTTGGTTATTTTAGTGAATAGCCATGAGAGGAATATACTTGAAATGTGACCACTGCTATTTAAAGTATACTTAGGCTTTGAGGAAAGAGTAATTTCATAGAATCGTGGAATTGTTAAGGTTGGAAAAGACCCTTAGGATCATCGAGTCCAACTGTTAATTTGAACAATTTCTTTTTAAAAAGGGGTTTTGGGTTAGTAGGGTGTGGGATTTTTTGTTTGCTTTTTGTTTTAAACAATGTCTGAGCAAATAAGCTTCCTGCCGCTCCCTCGCCTTTCTGAAAAGGTGATCTCAGAAGCTGTCTGAGGTGAACGAAGCTGGCAGCACTGTCCTGCTTAATCCCATCTCTGTCTTACCCATGCACTCTCAATAAACACAGCTGCCCCAGCCTGTACTTGTTATTTCTGTTCACAGAGCAAAGGTGGCACGAGAAGCTCTGTTACTGTGCCATCAGTCTGTGCAGCACTGCGTGCAGGAGGGGAAGGGGCAGCTGTACAGGCTAAGAGCCAGGCAGGAGCCCCGGGGGGCTGCACTAGCAGCAGGTGCCCCACCTGGCTTGCCTGGTGGCCAGGACAGAGGCAGGCACTCGCACAGGGTGGATAATGGACACACCTGTGCTGACACTGATCTGCACCCGATGCAGCTGGTGGCCACAGGGGAATTGCCCTTTTCAGAGGGCCGCTGATATTCCACGGTCTCATATTTGCAGAGGAGCATCCTATTCTCAGCTGAAGTCTCATATTCCCTCTCCTGTCTGCCCCTACGTAAAACCGGTAAGTATACTCACGCAGTACGCTTATCTAACTTGGAACGAAGAGCACTGACGGGCTTCGGCAGTTGGTGGCAGGGATCAAGCAGAGGCTTCACTGGATTTCACTTCCCTCCAGTGATCCTTGACAAGGTCCAGAGAGGGGCACTCTGAAGCACAACTGTTACCTTCTGAAAAATTGTTCTGTGTGACCACCTGTGACCCAAGGGTAATTGATGTAGTTGTCAGAGCTGTGAACGGTCAGAGCTGTGAACAGGGGAAACAAAGGTCTGTACCGCCAGCCTTAAGGAAATATGCACGTAGTTCTCATAAAAGCAACAATGAACCTTTTCCTTGGTAGGAGCAAACATGAATGCTCTGTGAGTAGAAGTAAGCTGCCTTACTTTGAAGGTGGCAGCACTTGTTCTTTGATAAGACTGCACTGGAAAGTACCTCTAGACTAAACTCTTCACTCCAGAAATTTTATACTTCAAATACAAATTCACACCGGCAATTAATTTGATAGCTCTATGCTAGAAATCATAAATAGAAATGAGTGAGAGGTCCAAGTTTCCCTACCAGATGATTCTATGTCAAATATTGTTAAAAATAATTGACAGAACTTTCTAAAGTCCAATAAAGTTTTCCTAATTTTGGAATGTAACTGAAAGTTTAACAAAAACAGTAATCTGTAGTTCACCAAACTCATTCTGTTCAGCAAGCCCCTATACTTAAATGTAAAATATCACATTTCTTTCAACAGAAGATTAAAAATTAGTAGATGTTCCTGTCAGGGTAGGTGAATAAAATAGGGCTCTCAAGCTCTTTCTTTCCTTTGCAGAACTAGATCAGTCCTGACTTCTTGTCCCATGAACTGAAGGAAACTCCAGCTGTCCACTTGAAGCAATTCCTTACTGTCTGAGACCTGGTTCTACACCCACTGAGCTGCCTCTTCATTTTGAAAGCACTATGAAATGATAGACCAATTCATCGCTTTGTATGCAAGGCTTTATTATCATCTTTAAATTAGCACAAGAAAATTCTACTCAAGTCAAAAAGTGCAAGAATGTTTTTTAAAAATACAGTTTTTCCCAAAGCAATTCCCAGTCCATCTAGCCTACAAATTACCATGTTATCACCCCTCCCTCTTACCAGGTTCAGTATTTTGAGTGAGACCCAGTAAAGGGACTGGAGAGAGAGGAGAAGAAAAACAAAACAAAACCAAAACAAAACCAAAACAAAACAAAAAACCCCACACAAAACTAAAATCCCCTTCTCCCACTACTCAACACCAGAAGCACTTAATCAGGAAATACTTTCCTACTTACAGTTCTCAACAACCTACTTCTGTATGTGCTCCCTTTTCTAAGAGAATGACGAAACACTCCCCCCCCCCCCAGTCCTCGAAAAAGAATATGGGCCCCTTAACCTACTTAATCAGGAAATACTTTCCTACTTACAGTTCTCAACAACCTACTTCTGTATGTGCTCCCTTTTCTAAGAGAAAGACGAAACCCCCCCCCCCCCCCCAGTGCTAGAAAAAGAATATGTGGCCCTGTAGCCTAGCAATTAGGGCATTCACCTCTGAAAGGTGAAAGTTGGTCTTTTTTACTCCTCCAGAAGTTATTTTACCCTGGACAGCCACTGATAAATAACAGGTGCGTAATCAGGGACACACGGGCAGAGATTTCAACTACATACCCTGAATTCTAATAGGGCCAGGTCATTTAAATAAGGCTGCTTGAAATATGCAAGTTAACACAACCTATTACCTGTACACATAATTGGTTATATCTAGCAGTGTAACCACTTCAATTTATAAAAGAAAAGAAAACAGCACTTGTTTTCAGAAAGCTTTGATATCTTGGTAACTTGACCATATGTTTGAAGAGCAGTTGAGGGTGTACATACCTAAAGAAGCATATTCACAGTAAAAAAAAATCATGGTCATAGTGGAGCTAGTCCAGCAAAAGGGCCATGAAAAGGATAAGGGATTGGAGCATCTGTCATACAAGAAGCTGAGAGTGCTGCGATTGTTTAGCCTTAAGAGAAGGCTCAGGAGAGGCAGTAAAGACGACTGAGCCAGACACTTCTCAGTGGTGCCCAGTGAAAGCACAGGAGGCAACGGGCACAAACTGAAATGCAAGATATTCTACCTAAATGTAAGGTTTGGAGTTTTTTTGGTGGTTGGGTTTTCTTGTTTGTTTGTTTTGTTTTAAATACTGTGAGGCTGGTGAAACTCTGAACCAGATTCACCTGACAGGTTGTGGCATCTCCATCCTTGAAGATATTCTAAACTCAACTGGAAAAAGCCCTGAGCAGCCTGCACTAATTGACACCACTTTGAGCTGGGACTAGACCAGAGCTCCCTTCCAATCTCAAGTCGATGTTTCTATGTCCAATACATGATCAAATGTCTGTCGTGAGGATGGAAGAAGTAATTTAACCCCTATAACATTATATTGCATATTTATTTAATGATTTCAATCAACATTTCCTTGTCAATGTACAGTTGCCCATCAACGTGTCAAGACAGACCAGCGTGCTTTCTAGCTTTGCCCTATGAATCCATAAAGGCTATCAAAGTATTTATGACAAATAACTGAACACTATCACAGTATCCTCATGTTAAAATAAATTGCTTAAGTACCCCAAGATGTCTAAACCAAGATTATTATTCCTCAAGTTTTTTCAGAATGTAATTTTTTTACTTGCTTTTGCATAACCGCCAGATCAGCAGCAGCTCAGCCTGCCAGAGTGGGGAAGGAGTAACAGGCTGTAATTACTGACAAGCACACACAGCTCCCCTGCCTAATGAATCTTGCCTGTCACAGATTCAAAACCCACTGATGTGCTCCTAACATTTTTGACACACTTTGTACACTTTTACAATACTCATAGGAGTCATAATCTACAGTTTAAGATTAGATTACAGTTAAATTATGAACTATAGATAGAAGAGATTAAAAGCTTATCAGTACAAGCATAGCTCTGACTGTAGACTTGGCTCAGCTAGAAAGCTTGGGGTTGTGGGACAGAAGGCAAAAAAGTGCCAAACCCTGAACTCAAAGCAGCATAAGCAGTGTGCTGTTATTACCAACTTAAAACTAATCAAGTACATTTTGCTTAAAAGAGTGATTAATCAGAATTAATGCTTTTTAGCAGCATAGTAATTTTGATAGTTGCAGTATCCTGTAACTGAAGATGTAAGGACATAAAAAGAAAATGGTTTGTACCATGAGCAATTTTCATATGCATCCCCCTTAAAAAAAAAAGGCTGTATTGATGTCTAACCATTTAAAGTACAAAATTCACATGTAGTTTTACAACCACTACAATAGATGACAGAATGGTATTTTCGTAATTCTTTAATTAATTTCTTTTTCTGCTTCAAAGGAATAGTGGGGTCATTGTCTATCTCCTGAACCAATGCGAGAAGATGTTGATTTGTTTGTTGTTTTTGATCTTCATATTCTTTAGTTGTCACGCGCTGACAGAAGGTGAAGCCTTTGTAAGAAATCAGAGGTTCAGAGTAAGTTTAATGCATCATATAAGAGCCTGATTAATAAATATGAGCAGAAACATAGGTATATTGATATTCCAGTTCAGATGCGACTACAATTCTCTACAAACAATGTGAAACATAGCCTTCCACTGAGCATGGATGAACATCTAAACATTAATTGCAAAAATAAAATTGAAAAGCAGCATTACGATTGCAATATCACACATGATTTTGTATTGCAAACAGACCTGCAAGACAAAGAGTCAACATAGTTCTTGCAAACAGAAGCCCTAATGAAGAATGTTACACGACAAGAATGGCACCTTGCAGTTGTCATGGTCCAGTAATTCCCTGAGTGAATCTGATCTGTAGCAAGGCCGAGTACATAATACAAGTGAATAAATACTTTGGAGAAACAGTTGCCTCTGAACCACACCTCCAAATTCAGAAACAGAATCCAGGAACTTGTAGGCGACTAGACAGCTCAGCATGGTTTGGGCACCAGAAGCAGAGGTGATGGAACAGGCAGCAGTTCAGGGTGAGGGCAGAGCAAGGAACTGGAGCCTGAGACGCAACTTAAGCACTATTTAGCTTAAGTACTACTCTGCAAGGATTCAAGCCCCATCATTGGACAAGTGAGTTCTGGCCTGAGGAAAGACTGGCATTCAGCTACTCCACACATTAGTGAGCAAGTTGATAGAACAAATGTCAATTGCCCAAAGGAGAAGAAATTCTTACTGTTGGTTCTGTACAAACACCATCTTCTTAAGGCTTCACATAGAGAGTGGTAATAACCTGAGCTGCCAGAATTTTCATGTGGACCTCTCCTTCCCTTCTTTTACAATGAGTCTGTCAAACACCAAATGTGAAAGACTTTTTATGGTTTAGTAGAGTCAGATCAAGAAAACATAGCTCTTTCAAAAGGGAAAGCTTAGCAACTTCTGGCAAAGAGATTAACTCTTCAGGGTGGATCCTTCGGTCCAGTGGTTTCAAGTGGTTTACTAGATTAAAACCAACCCCAGAGTTCCCTCAGTGTTTTAAGGAACGTTTATTTGAAGCAGAGCTAATGATTACCTTCCTGCAACAGACTCCTTTTCTTGTCAGTGTCCCCCAGCCTTCCCTCCTGCTCCCACCTGCACTTCAGAAGTTCATCAGCTAAGAATGCCCACTAGCTCTCAGGGAAGATTTTCCTCCTGTCTCCTCCATGAGAAAAGGGAAAATGACACCAGAATATAAGGCACACAGGAAAACAGGAATATGCCACGCTGGAGAGCCTACAATCATATCAAACTAGCTATTTCAACAAGTAGATGGGATCTATATGCATTTACAGATTGAAACTCCAAAACTTAGTAGGGAGAGTATAGTATGGGGTTTGTACTTCAGCTGTCTGTTCAATCTGCTGATGGAGATCACACAGGCTCCAAGAATACTGCAGACAGGCAACTCCTTCCTCTGTTGCTCATCTCTCTATTCTTTGGCTACATGATATGCGATACTCAGAACATTGAACTGGAAGCAATTTGGACACATTCCAGAACCCACCACAGATGGTAGAAGATTCTGTACCAAAACTACTTCTCAGACAGCCACTATTAACCATATTATTAAACAGCACAATAACTTAGAGTATTATTCAGTTCCCTAATGGTTTCCCTTCAATGTTTAAGCACGTAGTGCACTGGCAACACAGAAGTCAAAAGGAAGAAGCTAAAGAGTCAGAGAGAAATTCAATTATTTAAGCCAACCCTTTTAATCACAGTGCTGAAAGATATTTTTGGCAGCAAGGCCAGATGGAATGTTAGCTCATAAAAGAAATGAGCTAGAAAACACTAATCCCACGTACACACCAAGTGTCAAATGCCTTCCTTTTAGGCTACAGTACCCTTCTCTAAGTCTTAAGCTCTTAATAAACTTCGTGCTTACACAGAAAAGGAAGAGTTCTTCAAACACTAAACAATCAAGGTCTGTGCTCAAGACATCTATTAGAACCTCAAACTACTGAGCTCTATGAGAATTTTTAGGTGTCTTGTGGCAGAAATGTAAGAATGCTGTTCCTAAATATAAAAATCACATCAAATTCACAAGCCAAATTATAAGCAAGTCACTTCAGGAAACACATTTTGAATTAATTTCTCCAGAAGTAGTTATTTGGTAAAAAATTTTGTAATGTGTTCAAACTAGATAATTAATAGAATCCTTGTTCTCTAATATTCAGAGGTCAGTGTTTTGCTTATAGCAGATAATTATTTGGTGAATTAGCCACTAGTCACTTTAATGCTTCACTTCTAATAAACAAAAAAAATATAGTCTATGCAAAATTATAGTCAACTGATGATAAATTGATTTGTATAGAAAGGTTTATATAAAAATGTGTATCACATCATCCACCTGAATCGATATCTGGATCTTGTCCTTCTAGCAAACTCTCAAATCTCCTACTAGTTAGTTCCAGAAGAGTTAAAGGAGTCTGAAAATACAATCCGACAAAGAAAAAAGTTACAAAAACAATACTTTTGTATTTTGAGAATGTAAAGCTTTCAGATGATCAATTTAGAAATCACATAATTAACTGCAGAAGAATCTATGCCTAGATTTATTTAGATACACATTCAAAATCTCTCCAAAAATTGCACTAAAACACATATACATATGCTTGTTCCTGATATTTCTGGCCAAAGAAATAGGAGGCAAGATGTTCTAGATGTTGTTTTCTAGTGAACTACGGCAAAAACTGTAGTGTAGACCTTGAACTCATTTCAGCTTATATAATACAAAAAGCTCTCAGCTGCAGTTGTGAAAAAGTGAGCCACCATCCACTCTGCTGTCACTGCTATGAAACAGTGGGCACTTTGTCAGATCTGGCTCCATCTCCAAACATGAATCAAAGCCCTAACCCTCCTGTCAGAACCGTTAGTAACAAAAAACAAAACAAAACCAAAAAACCCAAACCAAAACAAGAAAACCCACAACAACAAAAAGTATTTGGTTTTGGCTGTATATTAACATATACAAAACTCCCAGTAACCACTTGATACTTTCAAACTAAACTGGAGCTAATTAAAAAGATAAAAATCTCCCATGTCTCTCCAGTTGAGGTCAGAAGTGGAATTGAATGTGTTGTACAAAAACTAAATACCTTATGAAACCAAATCAGTGTTTCTGTGAGGCTTATTTGTAACTGGACAATAAGTGTCTAGAGCATTTTACAGCTATCTTGCAACACCTGAGACAATTAGTTCATCTCTGTCTAGTTTAGTGTTTTAATAAGGAATTTTATAGTTGAGGAAAACAGCAGTGAAACATCACAACTTTCATGTGCTGGTTGAATTCAGAAAGTCAATATAGGGTCTGGGAAGGTTGAATCTTTTCACATGTGTGACAATATGATAGGAAGTAAATAAAGGAGACTGTAAAATAAATCTGTATATTTACATAACTGATCAAGTTAAATAGAAAGCCCATTTCATTTTGTAGTTCTATTTATTTTCTTTAATTTGGAAGTTAACATTTCAAAGTACCAAAAGGAACTCTTAAGAGTTGTTAAAGCTGTACATGTACACTGGGACACCAGCCATCTTATATGTCACTCAGGGTACGTCAGCTGACTTCCAAAGGCAAAAGATGCTAAGAAGCCTAAAAATTTAGTAGACAGCCATCAGAAACAAGGTGCCAAAAGGTCTCTATAAAAGTTTCTTAATACTGCAAATGTTTTCTTAACACAAATGATGCAAATAAAGAGAGAGGATATTATATGTAAGGGATTGCAAAGCTCTCAAAGCTGTCCTCCATAGCCTGAAATAGTTTCTTACCCTACTTGACTGTACCATTAAACTGTAACAGATGGAATATTAAACTCTGCTGTCACACTGCTCATCTCCAGAAAGGCACTTCATGGCATTTAACGTTTAAAATTATAAAGCTGATGAGGTAAAAAAAATGCTACCTTGAAGAGCTCAGAGTGATTGTCCATCAGAAACTGAGTCAGCAGTTCTACCCGTGGTTTTGACAATGTCTTATTTCGTAAGATGAACTTCGTGCAAGTCTTGATGATCACCAATCTGTTATCAAACTAGAAAAAGAACCATCCAGATTTGGCATTAGATTTACTTGCAATGTGTCAGCAAAGACTAAGAATAAAGGGATGCTATTAGCGGGCAGAACATCTTGATATTTGTTTTACAACAAATCACATCAGAAGGAAGTAAAGAGAATACTTCTAACTCTGAAAAAAGTTAGCTTTACTACAGGAAAGTGCTATTTCCCACACTAAACACAACAGATACTTACTTGTTTTTGTAATTTGTAGCCCTCAGATTCGGATGCAATGGCTATGAATGTCAGGAGTCTATGTAGTTCTTCTCGGATATTTGGTGCTAATAATTTTAAATAAAGCTGTGATGCCTCTAGAGCTTGATCCATTTTTCCTTTCTCTGCAATGGAGTAAAACAATAAAAATGAACAGTTGCATTGGATACAGAGTCAAGAATACATATTTAAATTCCAATATTAATCCCATTTTTTTGTTGTTGTTTTTCCCTCCAAACAAAGCAGGTTATCTCAATGATGTCTAAAACCTTTTGACAAGACTCAATACAGCATTTAATCAATATAAGCTTAAAACCTTTGTCCCATAGCTTGTCAAGGAACAGATGTACTTGGACAATATATACAGGACGTTACCATGTTCTGTGTACAATGTGCAAACACTGAAGTGATGTTTGCACTGTTTGTGTTTACACCTCTTCATATTATATTCCAGGATTAATCTCAAAGTAATTAATGAGCTGAACAATTCTAACTTTCTCATTGCTTTGAGGTTTTGTTTGTTTGGGATTTTTTGGTTTGGTTTTTGTTTTCTTTTTTTGTTTGTTTGGGTTTTTTTGTTGTTGGTTCATTGGTTGGTGTCCTGTGTGTGTCCCCCACCACCACCTTTTTAAGCCATTAGGTTATACGTTTCTCAAGGAAATGTGATAAGGTGGAAATAATCTTCTATAAAAACCCCGTTAGATGATAATTCTAGTTATTTTCACTTTGACAGTGAGGAACTATCAAAATGCCAAATAACTTTCTTAAAGCAAGAGCAAGACAAGGACAAATACAGGAATAGAAGCTACATATGATTTTCTGGCCTCTGTCTTATTACTGCGACAGAGGTTATATTTTATAAGAAATAATCCAGGACTTTCAGGGGTGTACCACAAGCCATTTGAAACCATCTTTGTTTAAAAAGAACACCAAAAGAGCAAGTAAGTGACCCTTTTGCAAAAGAAGGGCAGAGAAAAAAGCAGGAAAGAGAACTGGACATTATCAAGACAGGTAGAAGTGTACATATAAAGACAGGAAGTTAAATCATTTCTAGATAAAAGTTTCTCTGATCTGTGATTAAAGCTTTATTGAGTTACTTTAAAAGACTGTAGGAAAAAAAAGAAAAAGTTCCAATGTAAATAGGTTCAATAAGCCACATGGACTAGTTTGACCAACTTCATTCATCTGTAACACAACTCAAGTACTCTAGATCTGTTTATTTTAAAGGCAACACGCACAGCAACATGTTTGCCTTCACAACAGATCTGTATTATCAGCCATCTTAAATCAAACTGTTTAACAACTGAGGAAAATACAGTTACAACCGTATATACATTGATAACAAAATGAAGTCATACTTCAGCTAACTGCAGTACTTCTCAAATTAATTTTGAAAGTATTTAAATATGTGAATGTTCATAGTTAGTTTGAGCTCTCTTGCACTAGAATCAGAATAACAGTACTTCATCAAAGTAAGGTTAACTGCACCGGATTCTACTTGAAAATTATTATTAGAATCCAAGTTGTTATGCACTGATGACCATAATCTATTCCATAGCACTGAGAGGGAAAAATGGTTGTAAAGTAGTTAAGCACAATCTCCTAACAGTGATCTAGTATGAACTAGAACACAGCTGAGGACCCAAGAACACAGACTAATGTATTCAAACAGAGAATGATTTCCTAATGATAAAATTATGGCTACTACTTCATCAAAAGGAACTAAAGCATTAGAAACTGCTTGTGAGATAATCTTACTCAAGTTGGAAAGAAGACAAAATTAGAGCAAGAATAAGAAAGCAGAATAGCCCTGGACATTCATGGGTCATGTAGTTTAGATCAAGTAGGTACTTAATCATAGAACCAGAGAATAGTTTGGGTTGGAAGGGACCTTTAAAGGTCATCTAGTCCTACCCCCCTTAATAAGGAGAGACCTACAGGCTACTAAAGCACTACAGTAATTCTGCAGAATTATGACACTGTTTTCCCTTGCCTACAGATTTGGCTGTTTTGATTCTTTAATGTAGTAATACTCTACAATATTGGTTTATATAAATTTTGTATTTAAAGTATGTATACAAACTATAACATCTTTAATTTAAGTGAACATTTAGCAGAAGTTACCAGTAGCTAAGTCAGTTATTTCAAATTGGCATTCTTTTTTTATGGATGGGTTATGTAATTTTGCAATAGTTTCCCCTTCATGACTTCTATTATAATTTGATTTTTTTTTTCTCCTTAGCAAAGTACTACTGATAAAAATATCGCCTTTTATATTTTCATGAGGTTTTGGCCACAGGATCCACCACTCTGCTCCGATTTTTACACAGGCCAACTGTGCTCCTATGCCAGTAAGCTCGTCATAGTTGTCTAAAAACCTGAAACTTGTGATAACACTCCATAAACCCTACAGAACTAAAGAAGCAACAGGGCCTATTTAGGATAGGATTAATCTTAAACTTCTATTTAATCTAAACCCTTCTGTTTTACTTGTGAGCATATGTAGGGAGGGTTTTTTTTTGGGGGGGGGGGGGAATCACAGCCTGAATCATAATCTCAACAGCCCCTTTTATCATTTTAAATAACTTCTATTACTAAAAAAGCCCTAAGACCAGAACTTACAAAATCTTACTCTGATTAACAAGAAAACTTTATAGCAATGATTTTACTTTTATGTTATTAGTCATAAGCAGCAATAAGGGAAATTCTGACTAGTGGTAAGAAATTTTCACGAGAGTAGTTATATACGCTGAAACAGGTTACCCACAGAGGCTGGTGACTCTCTATCCTTGCAGATTTTCAAAATTCAGCTGGACCAAACCCCAACCAACTTGATCTAACTTTGAAATTTGTCCTTGCCTTGAGCAGAGGTTCTGACTAGCGACCTCGAGCGTTCCCTTCCAACCTACAAATTAAAGTGCATCTGCAATAGCATTGCAAATGGTATTATGATTCAGTCACTTAACACTTAGTAAGTTACATCCTTTATACAGCTTTCACTTGTATTTTTTTGTTCCAGGTTGCTCTTACCTATAAGTTCTATAATTCCTGAATGAATATTGAGATCCTGAGTGTCAAGAAGGGAGTCCTTCTTTTGACTATAATACTTTATTATAATGTCAAAAAGAATCTTCTTGTATGTACTCAGACTGCTGGGTTTGTTAGTGCTTTGAGGTAACTGCTGACTAACCATCACTATGAATTGGTCTGGGAAATACTCCAAGCATTCAACTGCAGCATAGAGCCATTTGTCAAGCCTGTAGAAGGAAAAGTTAGTTTTAGTGCTTAAAGTGCTCTTCCTAGTCTTATTTAATCTTTTAAAGAAAATTAGATAGAAATAACCATGCAGGTATAGTCACATATTTGAACCACAGCATTAAACTTGTTGCTTATTAAGCAGTTTATGTAACTTATTTCACTATAGCAGTTCAAGGACTTGCTCAAAACAAGCAACTTCCATGGTTTTCCTATGCTACAGACAACACACCTGAGGTATGCCCAGATCAAAACAAGCTGCAATCATGCCAGACTGTCACTGACCCCAGGGCACTTGCCTGATTCAGCTAGTATTTCAAACCAAACACCACCCCACTATTACTCCAACACACACAATGAAAACCCACCAGAGCTAACCAGGGTGAAAAAGCAAGGGACTGGATCTTTACAGAAAAGAAAGATGACAATTAGTCCGAAAACAGAGAAAAATAAAAATAGTTTAAATACCAGAAGGTTGTGGAAGCAGTTTGTTATATGACCTACTATAAAGGCATGACTTTTCTTAAACATTTGTTGCCTGTATGACTTAACTAGGGAGAGAAAAACATAAGCAGAACCTAAAATTCAGGTAGACAACTTATTGTTCAAAGAGACAGTAAGGTCAGAGGAAAAAGCCACTAACTCAACCATTTTGTACAGAAGAAATCTAAAATTATAGAACTGTAGGGGGCAGAGGGAGAATTACTTTTATCTGACTCTCCAGATATAAAATAATTTGAACTGAATCAATAACTTATGAGAAGATGCAAATATTAAAGATCCACAGAATCTTCACAGAATCTTATTTTTATCATGGAGAGCAGAAACAAAGATTTTAAACTTGCTGCTGGAAAGCTAGATAAACATGAACTTTTGTTAGAACCAACAAGGATTGTATAACTCTTGGATGCATAAATGGGGTAATACAGTAAAGTAGAAATAGGATCATGACCTCCCTTTAGTTATGAACCCATGAGCAGTGCAATCACTGCAAGCAGGATTTGATTACAGTTTTTAAGTACATACATGGAGAGCAGGTATTTGATTATTTCAAGCATAACATGACACTATTTGAAAACTGAAGCCAGAAAATTTGATATGTAAATTGTGCTTACTCCCCTGCCTTCATACTGCGGGCAATTAATCCTACAACTTCTTGTAATACTGGTGGCTATTCTTCATACCTTGAATTTTCCATTTCTCTGGCATGCTATAAGCCAGACCTAAATAATATACTGTCCACAAAGATGGTACTCCAGCCACCCCAGTTAAGTAATTGTAGAATAAAGTAATGAAGCAAGCATTTAATTTTCTTAACACTCATCTGCTATACTAGCAAAGACCCAAATGTTACAGACACTTAACACAGAATAATACAGAGTAAGAACCACATATGAGATCTTTTAAGAGACATAAACCCACCGATCACCCAAGAATCAAGTACAACAGAAGTATACAGCTCAAAAGAAACAGAGTTCATTAAACCATTCTAAGAGGAAAAACCTGTGGAGTTAAGATGCTATCCAGCAATAAATCTAGTTTGGAACCAAGAGTTTCATTAGCTTATATAAAACTCTAAACATATGTAAAAATATTAATATTTTCTCCCTAAAGCAAGAATACATAAAAACTGCAAGAAAGAGTCTCTTTAGGTACACAGATTGACCTCGATCTCACAAACAGGCAAAAATTGTATTGATTTGACAGAAATAAGCATTACTAAGACATATACACATGAGGAGACATGCCTTAACACATTCATTAAAGGTACATGCTAAGACAGAGATCAGGCCAAGTGCAATCAATATGAACACTTCAAAAATAAGAGAACATTTAAGGAAAAGAGCACTGATGACATGCAGCCACTTTCACTTTTACATTCTCATGATATAAGCATTCTTCAATGCTACGACTTAGCTTCTCCTTTTCTGTTGCTAACAATAGATGCCTTATTGACTTTATATCTTCACAGCACCACCACCAGGAACTGTGACAAACAAATAAAAAGCTTCAGAATAATTTTTTTCAAGTTCTAATATCTGTTAGAGAGACTTAAGAGTGAAGTGTCTGGTCTAGAAACTAGGAGTGTTTTCGACACCTGAGGTTGAAGTTTTAATGTATGCTTACAATCCTCAAATGTCCAATCCTAAACATATACTTTTTGTGAATTCCCTTACCACTTCTGAAAAGAAGTCAAAGGAAAGCACATTAATGCCACCCCTGTCTACAAGTGTAACGATGTCTATTTTGTTCACTTAACACAAATGTTTGATCAAGAGTAAAAATAAAGCATTTACTAACAAATCCATTTTATAGATGTATAACTTACTCAGGCAAGTTTAAGCTACGTGTAACCTCTCTGTCCAGGAAAGTATTTGAGATAATCAGGTCTTCCTCTTTGCCAAAACAGTCTGGTTTTGCCTTCACTGAAGACACCAAGATATCTTCTAGAAGTGGAACATCAATTAACTGCAGCAGTCGTAGCAGAGTTTGCTGTTTCCAGACATCTTCTATTACTGATACCATAAACAAACAAAAAACCACCCTCAGAAATAAGATCTTACGTAAAACACCAACCTTTGTTTTTACTCACTCAAGAATGTTTTAAGTGTTCAAAGAAAACAAAGTAACAGCATAGTGTGAAGTTTCTGTGTTGGGGAAGAAGGGATCAAAACAGGAATACTGAGAAAGAAGGCTTTAAAGAGAACATATCTCTCCCCCATAACATTAGAATTAGTAATAACCTACCCTAATTAGTAATATGTACAAGAAAAGACAAGTGAATAGCAAAGGAATCGTAATACAGATGTGTTTAATCGTAAAACCTATCTCCTTCTGAAGTGGTATTTGCATAAATAGAATCCATGCATAAATAGCACCATCCTGCAAAAACTTAAACTCCTTTTATTTCCTTCTTTACTTACTATGAGCATTTACCTATTTAGCACTCATTTAGCTGTTTTGTCATTAGTGACATGTTAAATTTAGGACTCTGAGGGGCAGTGTTTAACAGAAATGAGGTACTCCAAGTAGATACAGTGAAGAACAATCAAGATTTAAAATGAAAAATTCAATCCTCACCTCTTTTTGAAAGCAGATGAGTTGGTTCATTAACCAGGATCTTTGGAGGTAAAGATGTGTGAACATTTATTGATTGAAGAAGCTCCTCTACCCTCTTTTTATCAGCTGCTTCTAATGCTAAAGGGTTTGAAAGTGTTCTTTCACACTTCATTCTGCTTGGGGCGGGGGAGGGGGGGGGATGGATGTATAACAAAATATGATCAGGACACATTTATTTTTCTGTCACTTCCTAAATTGCTGTTAAATCAGCACTTTAGGGCTTCATTGTTTCTCGGGTCTATCCCACTGCTAGAAAACCAATCATCCACATCTGCTTTGTGAAAATGGCAAGGATATTGATTTCAAATACTGTCTATTAATTCCATTTCTTTTACCAGCTTCCAGCAAGTAGCTCATTCATGCTAATTGTCATATTTCAGCACAATTGACTGCAAAACAAAACAATTCCTAGGCTTATGCTACTGTGCCAGACTCTATTCTAAATAACAAAGAGCAGATCAAAGCAGTTTAACATTACCAAGAAATATTAGGTAGCACCTGTGATTTAGACATGACATTTCTCAAAACTGGCATGTAGTTTTCAAAAGTCTCCAATACTTGGATTAGACAGACACAACTTCATCTATAGTTAACCCACGTTAACTTAAAAAAAAAAAAATCAGAACAATTCAGAGTAACTCACCTGGAACATCTTTTTGTCTTTTGTTTGCAGATTTGCTCAGGAGACAAACTCTCATTGTCTTTATTCTTTTTCGGAAGAAGAGGAGTAAGACTGCTATCTACAAATTTATAGAGACTAGTGTTTGTGTCTTCAAACTCTGTTTCTTTCTCGTTCTTGAATAAGTAAAGCTTTGCTCCAACTGGTTCAAACACCTTGTGATCCATCAATGCTTGGCACACACGGACTCCCTTCAGCCGAGAAATATCATTGCAGCTTAGGTACATGCTTTGCATAAGATGGCTCAGTACCACATCAACAGCGTTTGAGCCAGTGAAACAGTTTTTATATGTTTTCAGATGTTGTCTACGTCTTTTGATTTCCACCTGACTGTGAAGAGCATGAATAATACTATTCCACAGCTGAGTTGCTTGAAAAGGACCATCACAATCTGCAAAATATTTATATGAAAGTTTTACAGATGTTTATAAAGCTTTACTTTAACATTTTAAAAAATATTTTTACTCTGTGAAATTAGTTATGTGTATATATATTTAAAAATTCTGCAGAAATCAGCTTAATTTTACAAAGACAGAGAAAGATAATACTTCATAAATCAGTCCTTCTTGTAAGGTGACTCACTCCCACTAGGGTAGAATCAACAGAAGAGAACAAAAAGACACTAAAACCAGGTGAGGAAGGCTTTTTTGTTATTACCACACATACTGTATGTATGTACACATACACATTAATTCATTACAGAATCACAGAATGGCTGAGGCTTGCAGGGACCTCTGGGATCCATCTGGTTCAACCTCTCCTGCTCAAGCAGGGTCACTCAGATCTGGTCGCCCAGGACCATGTCCAGACAGCTTTTGAATATCTCCAAAGGTGGAGCGCCCACAACCTCTCTGGGCACCAGTGAGAAGAGCCTGGCTCCGTCCTCTTTGCACTCTCCCTTCAGGTACTTGTAGACATCGATAAGAATCCCCTGAGCCTTCTCTTCTCCAGGCTGAGCAGTCCCAGCTCTCTCAGCCTCGCCTAGGGGAGATGCTCCTCCAGTCCCCAGTTTCTCCTCCACATATCACTCTCAGCTCTGCAGACGCCAAACCACCATTCGCAACACATTAAACCTGCCCGCCCCCCCCAACCTTTCGCTCCGAACACTTCGACGCAGCTCCACGCTCAACCCTAGCGGCCGCAGCCTTGTGGGGGTCCAGCCGGAGGAGGCTCCTCTCTCCTCGGTACGGCTGGGATTCCCTGCGCGCCGCTGGAGGGGGTTTCTCGGCGGAACGGTGCGAGTCCGGTCTCACTGTAAACAACAGTAAATAACAGTCCGGTAGGACTGTCCCGCAGGGTGCAGTTCAGGGGTTTGTGCAGCATATAGGTTAGGTTTCTCCTGTCAGCAGGTGACAGACAGATCCCCGTGCACGGATCTCGTTCCGTGAGTTTTTGGTAGGCTTTCGGTTGCAGCTCAGTACCGAAATGCTGAATAAAAATCATGAAGGTGACTTGCTCTGAGGGCAGCTACACCGTGCACAGTGCATCATTGCATTTGATCCTCCCGTTGTTTTTGTAACAAATGCAAAAGGTTGGTTGTGCCTGAATTTTTTTTTTCTTTTTTTTTTTTTGTGATACTTGGTTGTTCTAGCACCTGTTTCTTCTGTGAATTCATCATTGTTTGGGTCTGATGGATAGGATGGAAGTTTGGGTTGGGTGGCATGAAGTACCCACACACCTGCCTGCTGCCTTGGTTCACAAACGGGAATCCCAGCTTGTTACAGGTCAAAATACTACAGATGATGCACCGCTGTACAGTGTGCACCTATGCCTGTGCATCAGATAAAGCTATGAATCAGTTCAAGGATAAATTAACAGTTTTAAATCATGCGGTTGTTTTACATGAGTGAGAATTAAACAATGGTAAGGAATCTTTGTTTTGGATTTACCTTTATTTCAACAATTTGAATGTTTTTGCCTCATTTCTTATTGCTGTGTTCACTGTGTTGCCAAGTGATTAGGTCGTCATTGTGCTGATGTATTGTCGCTGATGTACATCAGCATGAAGACCATTATTGATTGTGAGGGGAATTAATGAAAACAACACATTGACCACCCAGATTTCTTCTTATTATTATGTTCCATGTTTCATGGACTTAGTAGCATTAATACTACCCATGAAATTCAAACAGGAAGAAATCAAAGTTCTTAAACATTTATTGCACGTCCTGTGTTGCTTGTCTGAACAGTTACTCTTAAGACCTTGTACTTTTCTCATTTATTACTTGTTAACTTGAAATGAAAGTTTCACTGTGGGTGACTGACTTTTCTTTATTGTCCCATGGCTGTTAATTTTTCTATAAAGAGTAGTTCAGTCTTAAAAGAATGGAACAAACCAGTTTTCGTACAGTTGAGAACTGAAGTTGCGTATTTCAGATGTGGTTCAATCATCATGATTTGTGGTATTATAGATACTACCCAAAATAGGTTGGGTTTTTTTGGCATGGATTTTCTAGGTACATCATTCATGTTGACATATATTGAGTTTGAGTTTTTACTGAAGTTCGTAACAACAATCATTTTTGTAAAGCAAAATATGCTATTTTAGATTACAGTCCAAATGTTAACATGAGGATTTCTACAAATTTACAGTGTTAGATGGACTTAAACTTAAAACCCAACCTGCTTATTGAGAAGTAAGTTTCTCAGTACTCCTTACACAGTAGCTAAATTAAACAGTAGTTTGCATACTGTCAAGCTGGAGAGGAACAGGTTGGACAGGGCCTACCAGGCTTGCTTTTTAAATCCTAACCCTTCAGACACTGGAATGCTGTTAACATTCTTGGCTAGTGGCTTTCCAGGCTTCTCACTGCAGTTAGTCTGTCACCCATAGCAGAAGGCACTTCTGATTTAATCAATACTACACCATGTTTGCACCACCTGTGTAGAGAAGCTCCCTTTCAGATTTATACAAAGGAATTTGAACATGCATGCACATGCATTTCCTTCATAATATCTCCACACTTAATTTTGCAAATCATCTCTTTACTTTTGAGAGTTCTAACACAAGATTGTTTTGCATTGATATTAGAGAAGGTTTGATGGCTGGGAGTGAATGAAACAATGCAAAAAGCACAAGATTTGAAACCAAATAAATTAGATTTGTGGTTATCTTAAACTCATTAGGATTGATTTTATAGTCCTTTAGCATATAGAGTTTGCCCCATGTAATAGCTGCAGAATAAAATCTCTGAGAGCTGGAAATACCTATAGCTACTATTTAGAATACTCCATGATCCTTGTTTCTACCTATTTATCGGGTTAATGTAAAGTTCCTTTATACAGGGATATTAGCCAGTGTCTAATAGCTGTTTAGTCTTGGGCTGCGCAGTTAGGAATTGCATGTGTTTTTCCATAGCACAATTCATAAAGTAAAATTAATATATTGTAATAAAATGTCATATACTGTAATAAAATTACTTAATAAAGGAATTCTATGTTTCCATAATTTATTTCCAGCTATGTTCTCAACAAAACACTTACAACATACCAAGCAAGTACATAATTATTCTTAAGGTTATCTCATTTTATTGAGACTCACCTTCTCATATCTAAAACTCACAGTCCCTATAATTAAGACTGACTCCACCCTGAACATGCTTGTAGTCGTATCTGGTTCTGCTCCTGAGTAGTCCCGTTGAAGCCATAACTACTTTTTCTGATTTTAAAGTTGAGTATTTGCAAGATTGAGATCTGTACAGTTGGATACCTTTCTTTTTTATAATATATTTCCTTAAAACTCCTTCATTTAGTAGCACAAAGTTATGTAGCTGGCATGGAAATTGGAGAAATATTTATGGAGCCACAGCATTAGTGTCTTTCTGCATTTCACTTTGGAAGAATATGGAAGGTGGGATATAACTGCAGCAATACTCAAGATAGAGCAGCATAGCTGTGTTGCTTCCAGCACTGTGCTAGTTTGCTTAGGACTAGGTTAACACTGTTGCACACATTTGCACTGGAGTGAATTGTTCAGTAACTCATATAACTTTTTAAGAAGTTTAGTTTAGTGTGTTTATTACCTCTTTTAGAAAAGAAGTCTATCTTTCCAATTTAATACTAATCAGATTAGTTGTCCTGATTTTTAATGGAACCAGATCTACAGTACCAGGGGGAGAAAGTGTGTAAAGTAAATAACTTCAGTGTGGTTGATTTCAGTCAAGTTTGACTGAGGTATACAGGTGTCAAAAATAAGTTGCTACAGGTTTTGTGAGACTAAGGAGCTGTGGAGAGGAAACAAAATCCATCTGTGTCTTGAATGTGGAAAAAGATGTGGCATAAATGCGTATATTAATAGATACCAGATAATCTATGTAGACCAGAACATTGCTTTATAATTGTATATAATACAGTGGGAAGGGCTTTAGTTCATACAAGCAAGCACCTCACATCTGATCAGAAGGACTAATCAGAGGGGCTGATTAGTCCCAGTGCTCACTGGATTATTTGTTAGTGCCTTCTGCTTTTTTTGTCCTTGTTACCGTGACTTGGCAAACATCTTTATCACAACAGAATCATGTCTCTTCCATTTGAATAGGAATGACATTCTATATTTTTCAAAGAAGTAGTTTTACACAAGTTATATACTAATGAGTTGAGGATAGGGCAAATAAGGCCATAAATGAAAATAGTATTTCTGCAGATTTCACTGCATTTGCTGATGTGCTATCTTAGGTTTATTTTACTATAGGTTGAAGAAATTTGTACTCTTCATGCCTTGTTTGAAAGAGACTGTGAAGAAATATCCTTAAATGTTGCTTTTGAATTTACCACATAATACTGATTCCAGGAAATAACTTCTTCTTGCATTCTCTCTCCATCTTTGCTCACACTGATAAGGAAGATAAATGTCTCCCTCTTTTTTTCACTGTTTCTTTCCTGTCTTCATTCTTTCTTGTGTATCCATTATCAGAGAGAAAATTGTATGAATGGGACATAGGCTTCAGAACTATCTGGCAGAATAGGCAAGTCAGATTTTTTGGCACTAATTACGACAACTTAGGAAACTGCGGAAGTACACACTGCAGTGGAAGATGAACTAAATTGTAAGCTGCCGCAGACTTTTGGCTCTTAAATTTGGAAGGTGACGTAAAAAACTTCCTTGCACAATTTCGTTAAAACAAAGTGTAAAAGATGATTTCTTCTTTCTTTCCTCTGCAGCAGCTGATCAGCTCATTAATACTTAGGTCCTACCAGTAGTAATGTCAGCAATCTGATGGGAAAATACTGAATTTTGAGCTTGTATTTTGACAGGCACAGTGTAGGAAAGAACACATTTTTTAATTGTCTTCTGTGTAATACACATCTGTTCTTTTGGTGGTCTGGAATCTTAAGCAATCCTTCCCTTCAGAAAATGTGTAGTTCCATAAGCACTGGAATTAAAGGAGCCTGGTTTCCTTCAGATTTGGTTCTCTTTGTTGATTGATATTGATATACAAGGTGTGAACCTTTCGCTTCATGGGAGCAGTTTATAGACTCTCTACTTTATTCAATCACCTGTTTTCAAGAAATGGTTGAATTTCTCCGTCCTTGATTGCTTTGTTAGATCTAAGGAAGAATGATTAACAGATTCAAAAGTTTTGGAAGAGGAGTAGAAGCAATGGCATATAATCCCCAGGCATGCTTGCAGAGATATGTGTATGCAGTGTGAATATGTACAATTGCAAAGCCCTGGAAGTTATATTTCAGTATCCTTTTTGGGGGTTACTCCTATGTCCTGTTGCAACCTTGGTTAGATGTCCTTTAACATTATAGTTTTCAACATGAGTCTTGTCTTAACAGAAATTGTGAAAGGACTGTGAAGCTTTTTTTTCTTGTCTTTGTAGGATAATACATTGGTGTACAGTTGAAACAATGGAGTCCATGCTGAATAAATTGAAGAGTACCGTTACAAAAGTAACGGCTGATGTCACCAGTGCTGTCATGGGAAATCCTGTTACCAGGGAATTTGATGTTGGCCGACATATTGCCAGTGGTGGTAATGGTCTTGCTTGGAAGATATTTAATGGAACTAAAAAATCAACCAAACAGGTGGGTTGTCAAGTAAAGACCTAAGTTTATAAGCATTAGATAACAGACTGATAGGTAGCAGCTGGTAAGTGGCATTTAAAAACAAAATCCAACTGAGCAGACTGATGCTAAGGGTAGTACTTTAAGTAAAATGAAACGAAGAACTCAACATTATTTAAATATAACGTTCTCAGCTACATAGGTGATAGTTGCTTTAAGCCTTCACTGCTGGAGAAAGAAGTAGTTCTGCATTCAGAGCATATAGTTCAAGACCAAGACCAAGACCAAGAATTAATCTGAGTTAAAACTGATCTGACAAGAAGGAAGAAGTTTGTTTTAACATGGATCTATTCCCCGATTTGTTTTACCTTGCAGCTTTTTTTGGCAGCAGTACTGGCTTTTTACAGTTTAAAATAATCATGAAGTATGCCATCATTTTTTCTCAGCAAAGGAGACTGTAGTTTTTTGCTTAGCTGCCATACAGAAGTTGAGGGGTTAGAAATGTTAAGTCATGAGGTACAGTAACAGGAAGGCATGAGGTAGAGGAGGAGGTTGTGGAGGAAATGAGTTGTGCCTTCCCTGTGCTGCTTTCAGATCAGTATTGTTCCCTTTTAGTTTCCTTAAAGTATTAGGGTTTAGAGCACTAGATTATAAACTTTTGACTTACTTGAAGTCATGTGTGTAAATGAAAATGGGATTTTGACTTGGGAAGAAGGTTTGCCAGAAGCAGAGTTTAAGAACTGTTAGTACAGAAAATTATTTTGTTGTACTGGAGAAATGTAAAATGTCTTTTTTCAAACTTGGAGAGGAAATAGAATTTTAAACGAGTAAATAGAAGAGTTAATAAGTTATGGCCTTCAGTTAAACTCGATGCTGAAGTCATGTGAAGTCACTTAGACATTGAATCAGCTTGCTACAGATGTACCAAAAATAAATGGACACAAAGGAATAACTTTGGAAAACATATATACAATCTGTTAGATGGTAGGAAAATAAACTGTAGCAAATAGAGAAGAAATATACTATGCAGAATAAATAATCTGTGGAGAATGCGTGATCTGATGATGACAGAATCTTAATAATGTTAAGCAGGTACTTTTGCCATGTTCTCAAGCATCTGTCTAGCTGTTGTAGGAGTCTATACATGTAGTATTTACTGAATTTACCAAATGTACCAATTGTTTTTTGTTTGTTTGTTTTTTTTTTGTCTTATTCAACTATACGAAGGAGTGGTAACATTGAAAGTATGGTAATTTTGTTAGGTTTTATACAATCTCTGTGCCCAGTAAGCATTTGAGCAGGTGTAGCTTTGAGGGTCTGGAGAGTTGTAGCAAGTTTCTTTCATTTCTTCCCTGATTGACAGAGTGTATGTAATTTGGTTCCTGTCAAGCATGTTTTTCAAGCTTTGAATGGGTGTTCTGACCACTGATTTTGCAGAGTTTTAGTTCAGGTGTTACCACGTGATCCTGCAGTATCTCTGTAAACCCTGACTAATGCGTACATTTGTATGCCATCATTAGTCATTAAAAATACAGCAGCAGTTGTACTGCAGAGAATTTTAGTTGGCTGGTGATTTGACATGCAATTACCATTCATTGTTAATATTACCAGTTAGGTAACATCATGTCAACATTGAGTTTGCCTTTGCAAAATGAAACTACACAGTAGTACAATTTATGTTGTGTTATATTGCAATATATCTGTTCTTTAACATTATTTTTTATTTCTTTTGCATGTACCTTTTGAATGTTGGCTGGGCAATATGGAAGTAGCTGGCTATCATTTTCCAAGTGGTAGCAGTCACTTTTGTGAAGTGATGCACATATTTGCTGTATTGCAAGTGTGTATATCTAATTGGAAGCTACAAGCACTTAGCTTTTTTACAGTAAATGTTTATTGTGATCAAACAAGTACGGATGTAAGGGCTTAATTGCCCATGTTGTTGCCACTTTACAACAACACAGGTAATAATTTAAGTCCTTGTAGCCAGATAAAATATATACATTTGGAGTTTTAGCATTACAGCAGTAGAGCTGATGAGAAATCTTTGTTCTCAGGACAAAGGGAAGTCAGCAGTCTTACAGAAGTTGGTCAGCTGAAGTTAAGATTTCAAATATGGATTAATTTGCTTCCTATTTTAAGTCAGTGAACAGTTACAAACATTCCATCTCTGGTGACAGTAGATAAGTATGATTTTATTCCTCTTTTTAGAGTTCTGCCTGGTTCCTGCCTTGCTGGTTTTCCTGGATTTCTGAGTGTTTATATATGTGGTTTTTTTAATGTGTCTTGTCTTTTCTTGCTTACTTTGTAGGTGACTGAATAACAACCTAACAGAATGTGAGGAAATTACTTACCTGTGTGCATATGTTTGGTGCTATTTGATAGCTAATTTGCTGCTGTTTGTTTGAAAGATTTATGAGTCTTTCTGGTTGTACGTGTACACATGACGTAACATGTTGGTAATTTTACAGTATGTACTTCTGCTCATCTTGGATTTGTTAATGTAGTCTTTATGCACTTATGGTTTTTTTTCTGGCATAATATGGCACTTGTCCTTTTTTCTGCTTAGAAAGTGCAATCGTAAAGAAATAGATAGGGTGAGGTCACTCCAATGTTTTTGTTGGCAGCTCAGTCATAA